TGTCGCGGGGTACTCTCGGGGGCCGGGCCGGCGCCTACCCGTAGGGACGTGTCCAGGTTCCAGTCCCCTTTCTGGGGGTGTAGTCAAAAGATGGTGTTCTGGGACATTTGTAGGCTTGGCGTTTGTGTGTGTGGCACCTAGAAGCAGCCTCCTGAGAGAAGCGCCTGTCCCCGACCTCAGTGGCCAAGAGCTCCGGGACCCGTCCTCCCGCGGAGCTGCTGGCGGAGGGGACGCCGGCGACCAGCCGAGCAGGAGGCCGCCCAGCGGGGCCCGACTGCACAGGGAAAGGGGCCCCGGGCCAGGCCTCGTCACTGAAGGCAGGAAGGTGGGGGTGGAGCCGGCCGGCCTGCAGGTGGGGCCCGGGGACGGCCTCAGTGGGCACCTTGAGCTCAGCGCCAGCGGGTCTGTGTCCGACAAGAGCAGAAATTTGGGAGTTACCTGTAAAACCTCAGGGTTTTCTCTTGTGTGGTGTGTGCACTTGCTGGAAAGACGGGGAGAGGGAGAGAGCGCCCTCCAGGAGCGTGGCCACACCACAGCCCGTCTCCTCTGGAAGAGTGGAGCACCTGGCGTTCCTCCAGCTGCTGAGTCCAAGACCCCTGGGATCCAGCCACCTTGACTGCCACGCTGCCCACAGCCGGTCCGGAAAAAAGCTCAGTGTATTTTGCAGGGGAGGGTTGCGTAGGGAGCATGAGACAGACAGAAAGGGAAAGTGAGGAATCCTCCCTGCAGGTGAGGGGATGGCTACACTGCAGCCCCTTCTCTGTTCTGGGGTTCTGGGCACACGTGCACATGCCCTCAGCATGGTTTACAAGCTCTGGGGTCCGGGTCTTGAATTGCTGTCAGCCAACGGGGAGGCCAGCACCTTAACCACCTCGCCACCTGCTGGCCCCAAAAATCTGTTTTTAAATGTCAACAACTAATTTGAAGTGTGGGACTGAGCGTGGACAGGCAGACCCCGGCCCCCGTACACCCTGCAGAGTGGGGAACGCCGGGTGCATAGCAGTCTACTCAGAACCCTCTGTCGGGAGGCGGCCCAACCCGATGCCCACGAAGGAGCCCAGGTTCTGAGACCCGCAGGTGTCGGTCCTCTGGAGCACCCAGGCCAGTGGTCACGGGAAGTGCCCACCTGCCCCACCTTCCTTCACAGGACCCTCTTGTGTGGAAGGCAGGGATCGTGACAGCCTGTGCAGCCCCTCTGCCTCCTGTGTAGGACTGCCTCCCTTGAGGGTGAGCTGGTGGGAGAGGGCACCACGGGGCTCCTTACCCTGACGTGTAAGGGGTGGGTGGGGTACTACCAGCTGTTACCTTGTCACCCTGGGTGTCACGGAATGTCTGTTTTAACTCATTATCATAAGTAGCATGGCTTCTGTAATGAAAAGTCTCACTTAACAGTAAAAAAAGGGAAGGGGATTAAAACAAGTGTGAATTATATGCACTGTGTTTAAAGTAGAAAAATGTCTGCTGTTGGTGCCAGCCGGTGGTGTGGTGGTGAAGGTGCCGGACTACCTCCTGGCCAGCTGTGGTTCACATCCCAGACCTGGCAGTGCTCGCTCTCGCTCTCTCTCGCTCGCTCTCTCTCTCTCTCTTGCTCTCTCTCTCGCTCGCTCGCTCTCTCTCTCTCGCACGCCCTGTAACAAAAAATAAAAATAAAGTTAAATAAATAAATTATTATTTTAAAAAAAAGGTTTGCTGGGAATCAGCAGTTAGCGTAATGGCTATGTCTCTGGACTCCCACATAGTCGACCGCGGTTCGCGTCCCGGACCCGGTGGCTTAGAACTCACGCCGGGCGCGTGTGCGTGCGTGCCCAAGATCCCGAGAGGAGAATGGAGGAGAAGGGATTGCAGCATGGCTATCCCCTCTGGGGGGTGATTTCTCGCTTTCTGTCTCTATGTCTCTCTCTGTCTGTCTGGCGAGCGCACGCGCCCTATAGCGAAAAAAAACTCTCAAAAAAAAAAAAGGTTTGCTGCACTTGTGTGAGAATGGCAGAACCCAGAAACACCCTCACTGCCCACAGCGCTGCAAAGGTGTAGGCTTTCCAGGCCAGCAGCTCTGTGAGCCTGTTAAACTGAGTAAGCAGCGGGCCAGTTGGCAGGTAGCACAGTGGTTACGGTGTTGGACTCCCACACAGCCGATCACGATTCGACTCCCGGACCGGGCAGCTTGCTTTCTCACTTTCTCTCTTTCTTGTCAAATTAAAAATAGTAACAAATAAAATAATTATTTTTAAGAATGGAGTAAGCAGTATTATGGTCTTTTTCAATAAAACAGCATTAGACATGCTCACTTCAACGTAAGAGCAAGGTAACCAGTCAAGAGCGACGTCAGCGTTTACCTACTTGCTGGTGTTATCTGTGCTGTTGTCCGCATGTGGACACCTCAGCATAAAAGAATTACAGACCAAAACAGTCACATACCAGCACGGCAGCTGTGGTCCAGGGCTGCTTCCTGGGGTGACCAACAGCCCAGCTGGCAGCACCCCTCAGCCATGCCAACCCCTAGGAATGTAAGGGCACACTCAAGAACACACAACTGCTCTGTCAAAGCAGGTATGCAGGGCCAGCAGGTGGCATGGATGTTAAGGCACTGAACCCCACGTGGCCGGCTGCACAGTTCCAGTCTCGGAGCCAACAGCTTGAAAGGCACCTGTGTGTGTGTGTGTGTATGTATGCCCAAAATCTTGAAAGGAAAGAGAACTGAGGTGCAGCTGTCCCCCCGGGAGGTGACGGGTGGGGTAATTCTCTCTGGCAAGTGCATGCACCCTGTAGCAAAAACTACAAAAAAAAAAAAAAAGCATTTCTTAGAGCTTCCATAAGAAAGCCCCCAAATCTGCGAGCTTATTTATTTATTTATATTTTTTTGAGAGAGAGATTTTTGCTATATGCCACATGTGCTCACTGGAGAGAGAGAAACAGAGAGCAAGAAATCACCACCCCCCAGGGGATTGGCCACACTACAATCCTTTCCCCTCCATTCTCTCAGGATTTGGGGCACCATGTGTCCGGCATAAGTTTTAAGCCCCCTAGTCCAGGACTCAAACCGCGTTTGACTGCATGGAAGTCCAGTGACATAATCATTATGCCATCTGCTGGTCCCTAAAACAAGTTTATCCTCTCCGGTTCTGAGAGCCAGAAATCAAGAATCGGGCGCTGGCCAGTCCCCATGACCTCTGGAGGCCCGGGGAGGGTCCTTCCTGCCGCCTCTGGTGTGGTGTGGAGGGACAGAGCCTGCCTTCACCTGGTTCACCACCCTCTCCTCTGGCAAAGACACCAAGAGCTGAACATCTCAGTGGGATTGGGGGCCCACCTAAAGCCAGGATGAGACCCTTAGTGAATTGCATCTGCAGACGGCCCACTTCCGAACGCGGTCACATCCGCGTGTTTGGAGCTGACGTG